AATCCCTGCAGTCACGAAAGCTTTAAATCGAAATTTTGGGTGCATCTTAACTTCCGATTGGCACGGTTGGCTATGTATGGTGCGAAATAAGTTCAGCGTACATGTATGATCTCGTAGCTGTGTGTGTGCATACGAGCATATCCGTGTAACTTTATTGACACCAAAGGCACAAGTCGTGGGCTCTTCATTACTCTCCAACGGCATCGTATAAATCCTGGAGGATGCGCTAACGTGAGATCAATTGCCGCTCTGGTCACGCAATTATAACGCGTCAAAGTTTGCAGGTGAAGTGTTGCTCAGGCCGCGCACATCAAAGGTGCCGTGCAGAGCGCTCTCTCTTTGGGGTCGCAGAGTTTTGTTTGGTATTGCAAATACTTATAGCAGCGTGACACGCACTCTCCGTGCATTTGTGGTGTTCGGCTCAGGCGATGTCTCCTGCTGTGGAACAAGCATTGCACCATTGAGTGATGTTCACTATTACTTACGAGAATATCCAGAATGACTCTTTTATTGAAACGACTTTGAGTGCCAATGTCTCGCCGGCTCCCTCTCCCCCTCCCTCTCCCTCTCCTTCCCTCACTCCCTCCTTCCCTTACCACCTCCTTCCATCTCCCCCTCATTCCCTCTTCCCTTCCCTCCCCACACAATAAAATGCAACATTTAACATATTTTTGGACATTTTTTTACCAGCATTTCATTTATGTTGTGGCTTGGCTCTCCAACACACCGGTGTGCTGTACTAGTGACGAATTGGCATGTTCTGTTTACGTGACAACTCTTACTAATTGACTGTGTTGGGTGGTGGCGGGTTCTAACGACACATTTATATATTGATGCGATCTAACCCCCCCAAAAAAACCTCTATTATGGATTTCATTTATCATTTAGGCAACCAAACTTTTTATTTAATGACAATGCGGTGAAGTTCATTTTCTCTCTCTGTCTACATCAATGCAAAAATAGTCCTTACATTTTTTATTTTAACATGATTAAAAAGTTTTTAGAAAATGTTATGCAACAAAGAACCTTAGAGTCACACTTTATTGTTGACGATAGCATACGTAAGCCAGAGTTTATATTTTAGCAGCTTGAATTTTTTTTGTAAAAAAACAAAAGGCTCAAGCTGCCATATTAACTTAATAGGACCACAGCAATGGGAAGGGAACAAATTCAACTGGCACAATTTGCAATAACGTACCAATGCGCAGGACACCATTGAACTTTTAATATACAAATATTACTGCTACACGTTATACATAAGTAGACGACGTTCAAAACCTTCCTTTCGTATTATATACGTTAAATATTTTAAAAGTACGCAGCAAATTACACATTGGTTAGAGGAAAAGATGTGTTTTCAAATGGGACCAAATGTGTGGAAAATTATAATATAATCGCATTGGCAGAGAAGATTAATCTGGATTTCACACGAGAACAAATGACCTGAGCATTTTTTGGCCAAAATACTATGGAATTAAATATAAATTGATGTTGACTGATGAAGCTAGAAAGCAATGAAAGCATAATATGGGAACTATGAGCTGAACGTTTCAGGCTCCACTTCTATTTGGGCAGAAGACAACTTAAAATGAAATGCAACCTAAACCAATGTTCAGAAAGAAGAGAGCTTTTAACTATGACACGTGAATCAGAAACAAGGACATTGACTTAGAGAATACAACGTAAAAAAAAAATTGCATAGAAGCGCGGAGAGATGCATGCTCGGAATCACATTGAGAGACAGAAAGAGGATCACGTGGGTATCATATAGAAGTATGAAGTATGTATGTTGAACTTCTTTCGCACCTTACATAGCCAACCGCGCTAATTGGATGTGCGGGGGGAAGGGCAACACACTAAACACAAAAAACAGTTCTGAAGAAATATTTTCAACGTAAACCCATCTAGGGTAAGAATACCCTGTTTACCCTAGACGGGTAAATACACTTACTATCCTAGACGGGTGATAATAGTAAACGCAATGGGGGTGGCTGGATGTGTCACTGGAAGGGATGATGGCAGATAAAGGGGACGCGACCAAAGAGGGCATCTGCCACAGAGGTAAGCGGATAGCATCAGCTCATGTGCAGGTGGCTCCATGGATAGTAACAGGGACTGCTCTCCTTACGAACATTCGACTTATGAACTTTCAGAGTTATGATAAAAAGCTCTCCGCATGTCCAGTTGTAGCTATTTACGATGCTATTGCCTGTTACAAGTTGATTCATGAAGAGAAGAAGCGATCACTGTGCAGATATCTATTGGTGAGTTTTTCAAGAGAGTAGAGAGGAAACACGAGCACCAAAGGAAATGAGTATCTACAGAACGTGAAGAACCAGTGGCATCTACATCTACAGAACGTGAAGAACCAGTGGCATCTACATCTGCAGAACGTGAAGAACCAGTGGCATCTACATCTGCAGAACACAAAGAACCAGTGGCATCTACATCTGCAGAACATGAAGAACCAGTGGCATCTACATTTGCAGAACATGAAGAACCAGTGTAATCTACATCTGCAGAACACAGAGAACCAGTAGCATCTACATCTGCAGAACGTGAGGAACCAGTAGCATCTCCATCTGCAGAACGTGAAAAACCAGTGACATCTACATTTGCAGAACGTGAAAAACCAGTGGGATCTACATCTGCAAAACAAGAAAACCCAGTGGCATATACATCTGCAGAACATGAAGAACCAGTGGCATCTACATCTGCAGAACACGAAGAACCAGTGGCATCTACATCTGCAAGACATGAAGAACCAGTGGCATCTACATCTGTAGAACATGAAGAACCAGTGGCATCTACATCTGCAGAACATGAAGAACGAGTGGTATCTTCATCTGCAGAACATGAAGAACCAGTGGCATCTACATCTGCAGAACGCGAAGAACCAGTGTCAGCTACATCTGCAGAACATGAATAACCAGTGTCATCTACATCTGCAGAACGTGAAGAACCAGTAGCATCTACATCTGCAGAACGTGAAGAACCAGTGGCATCTACATCTGCAGAACGTGAAAAACCAGTGGCATCTACATTTGCAGAACATGAAGAGCCAGTGGCATCTACATCTGCAGAACGTGAAGAACCAGTGTCAGCTACATCTGCAGAACATGAATAACCAGTGTCATCTACATCTGCAGAATGTGAAGAACCAGTGGCATCTACATCTGCAGAACGTGAAGAACCAGTGGCATCTACATCTGCAGAACGTGAAGAACCAGTGGCATCTACATTTGCAGAACATGAAGAGCCAGTGGCATCTATATCTATAGGAGATGATACAACTTTAAAACTCATTTCCCGTGTATAATGTACAACATGTTTGGAATCGACAGGAGGAGGAAAGTTGGACAAATCGACTCATGAACAGACCTCTGGAACCTAACTCGTTCGTAAGCAGAGGAGTCCCTGTACTCATCACAGTTGCAGGTGAAAGGTTTGTGATGGTTTAGGAGAGGCCCTTACGTCCAGCAGTGGATTGATCATTGCTGTCCTTGGCGAGTTGTGTTGGCGATTCTAGTTGGTAAAACCAATTAATGCTGCGCTGCCCCTTGATGCAAACACATTTTATATGCAGGCGTTTAATTGCACACGTTTACACTCACCTTATTTTTGCTTAATTATCTTTGATAGAAGAACACATTTACCCAAGGACATCTGTTCTCTGGAAATGAAGTCAATCTTTTGGAAACTAAAGACAGATGTGTGAGAGAAAACAAAAATATTGCACTTGCTTAAGTTGGATTTTAATGCACACCATATATTAAACATGGTCTTGGGAGTAAACTGTGTTCTGAATACATTTTAAAAGCAGTTTCCCGAATTACCATGCAATTTTGATGTTCTTCTAAAGGTGCCATGTTGTACATCATGTACATCATGTACAACAAGTTTGAAACTTGAAAACAGTAGAGTGTGGGTGTATAACTCGGGCAAACAATTAATGCAGGTGAGAATCAAGTTCTTAAAAAAGAGGTGAATATGTGAGGATGGAGATCTTGATAAAAGCTGAACCCGAAAATGAAATGCCACATACCAAGAAGATTTTAAATTAGCACATTGCCAGCGATTACAAACGTATCAGAAGCACGGAACACCGCAAAATAACATTAAACAAATCCTCAAGAAGTGACATAAAGAAGCATCGAGAGATCCATTCTGGGAATTACACCGAGAAAGAGAAAGAGGGACACATCGATCAGTGAACAAAATCAAATTCAGAGACAACATAATGACTGCAGTGGACAGTTATTCGAGATTAAGGAGCAAGACGCGTGACAAGAAGGGACGATGAGGGCCGATGGATGACGCTGGTGACAGAAAGACAGCCAAATAGCGAGGGAATGCACCCAGGGGAGAGAACCACCATGGAGATGGGAGCGAGATGGATTGTGGGCATCGTAGAACCGCGAGGGGATAGCAATAGTATGAGGCGGGCGGGGGGGGGGGGGGCCTTCCTCCAGCAGTGGATAGAACATGGCTGCTTATGATGGTGATTTACGAATGCGTTGCTGACTGGATGTCGGTACCCTTAAATTGCCTTGCTCTCCTGGTTCCTGCCGAAATTGCAACGGCTACATCACGTTTGAGGAACACTGTAATCTTCGTTATTACCTGCTCACAGCACTCGCTCCTGTTCTCTGGTGGCCCTGCCCAAGCCTCCTTAGAAACATTTATAGTTAAACACCCTATTTAAGTTTTCAATCTCATCTATTCTCTCGACAACGTGGTAGAAAATAAAATTGTATACTCAGTCTACGAGGGAATTAATTAACACCCCCCCAACCCCTTTGATAGACAAATACCAATTAAAGAGAGAGCCATAAATCATTCCATTAAGCGAACTGGCCGCACTGAATGCGAATGCTCTGGGAGACGTGAAGGAAGGTTGATTTAGATTATTAAAGTTACGTTAATGTGTTGTTTAAAAACATCACCTTAAACAATCTCGGATGGTATGTCCACACCTATTAATGGCAACGACGCGTTGGTGTAAAGGAATGTAACAGGCAAACATTTATTTCAGTATGCTAAACTAAAATCAACATCAATGAAAACAGCATTTACTTCAAAAAAACGGATCATTAAAGCTTAAATTCGTGCAAATAGCGATGTACATTACACACCTTTACGGATAAATGTGCATGTTTAACTGTGTGCCGAGATTTGTACGTAGTAATCCTTGATATCATTTGTAGAGTTTAGAGAAGCTTATCACAGATGACAATGTTACTTTTGCAAATTGTAATTTTATACACATACTACAACAGCTGGTTAATGTTGCCCATTATCTTACTATTTTACAAGCTGATTATGATACATCACCAAAAAATCCAAAAGTTCTCTCATGCCACGTCACGTATTTTTGTTCGGTTGTATCCTACAGATATATTTGTTACTATCAACAAACGTCACGGGAATATGATAACGCGCTCTCATCTCTGGCAGAACGAGAAGGGCTAGCAGTCGCCTGTGCCTTACTGCTGTTGCTCGTCACCCAGATTGTTGTAAATATGGAATTCTTCCGAAGAGGAGAAGTACGAGGTATGCCGCTCCTGCATTCCCCCTGCATCACGTACGCCTCGGTCGACACTTTCTCGCTGGCCTGGAGGTACACCTGTGGACCCCCCACGTATTTATGCTTCTGCTTGGCAAGCTGTGAGTCGGTGTCCTTGTTTAGAGTACTGACGGCCGATTCCTGGCTGTCCCTGAGGCAGATCCATTCGTGGCTGTGAGCGACCTCTTGACTCCCCAGGTGGACACGCTTGCGCCTGTACTTCACCGCGTATATTAAGCAGTTGATCAGAAACATCAGGATGGCGATGCAGAATACTGTCAGTAAGGTGTACATTCCAATCTGGATATCGGAGAGGCCTCTCGGCTTTTTCTCAGATGAGCCATTGCTGCCGTGTTGTGCCGGGCCGATAGCACCTCCGTCGCTGACGCTCTCCTTCCCTCCATGTCCCCTGGGACCTGCCGTGTGCCGCGAGCCGTCCCTGGCCGCTTTCACAATCTCCGTTTGAGTCTTCGCTCCAATCGCCGTGGAGGACGCGCTGATTTGGCTGACGTTCTTAACGTATTGATTTTTGCCGGCGTCTGGAGTTTTGCTCGCACCTCCTTCCTCCCCCTCTTCTCTCTTTTGACCAAATTTCACGAGGACTTCGACAGACGTCGAGAACATAGCGGATTCAGCATCGTCATCCCAACAGGGCTGTGGATTTTGCAGCACCACTTGAATCGGTTTTTCATTTCCATCCCATTTGGCTTGGAAAATTGGTTCCCAAGACAGATTTTCTGCATTGATAGATGCTGCTCGTCTGTCTACGTTGTTGATGGTAAGATTATAGTCCTTTGTGCTGAAGAGGCTCAGTGGCACCATCGTGTTGTCTTCAAATTCTACCCAGATGAGCAGAGATGCTTTCTGCAAGAAAACGGAATATTTTTGTGTTTTTACGAGTGAGGAAAGCACCAATTTTTCATGAAATCCAAAGCACATATTATACTTGTATAAGGCAATTATATATATGTTAAAAACTCAATTACCAGTTTCATAACATAATAAATAACTTTGCACATCATTCGTGAATAATGGCCCTGCATGCCTGCCCTTTCTTTTGTTATAGTCCATAACTAAAATTAATGAGTTATGTGTATGCATATTATACGGTATACAATAGTAAATAACACAATTATTTATAGGCTTTTGTCAGTCCACTGCTGAATAAAGGCCTTCCCACACTGTATCAGTCATGGAGGCTGTATGATCATACTTCACCGTGCTGGTCAGTGCACGTTGGTGAATAGGGTGGAGGGAAAGCCAGGATTGGTTCTGATGTGGAATGGCGCTGATCTCAGCAGCGAATTGCACCGATTGTGGTAACTACTGTGCTGCCGCTCTCCTAGATGACAAACATGAAGCTCAAATTGCCACCACCTTTGGCTCGTGCACCAGAATTTGCGCACTCGTTACGTTGAACTTGTCCATCAATTGTCGGCGAGCCATGCCTATTGTGGCAGCCCTCTTGGGTGCTGGCTGTGCTGAACCATCAATGTGCCAATGTTCACACAGTGCATCAATGGTCATTAATACTACGCGACTAGAAAAAATACAGGGTCCACACGAGCATCACCACGAACACTAATGGCAACGCTACGTTGGTTATATCTGTAGAGATATATCTTCAACAGTAAACATAACAACCATGCTTTGCCTGTCTCGAAGACATCGCCATCATTGCACATGTTCTGCAGACTCGCTTTAAAAGAGCCAAGATTGTGGTATTATAATTCAAAAACAGCAGGACAACTTTATAGCTACGTATGTCAGTTTACACATAACGTGTACATACATCCCCTGTAGTAAAGTTAGAACAAAAATCGTGGTGCACGATTATTGTTTGTTTTTGGAAGAATTAAATTTGCGGTATGGAGGCAGATGGGGAAGCTTTCAGGGTGAAACGAATTTGCCAAGAGAGCAAATTGACCTTTTCGTTTGCGTGTTGTCTCCATGTTTTGGGCAACCCCTTGATCAACGTGGTCAATTTCCTCGACGTTAAGTCCCTAATAGCGACGCAGGCTGTACATGACGGGTTCGTTCAGGTTAGATAACCTTTTACGAGAGTTGTCGTGACCCCGTGTTGTAGATGGATAGACGGACATACAGACAGACAGAGACAGACGGAGAAATCCAATTAATTCCCGCACCTCTGATTAGCATGGTTGGCTCTGTACGTTGCGAAAGAAGTTCAACCTACATACATAGAATACCTTCCCACCTTCGTTGGAAAGCATTCAAAAGGGGAAGTAATGTGGCTTGCATGCACGGCCCGTGGTACCTGGGGGTAGCCTTTACCTTCGCACGGTTGGTTACGTACGGTGCAAAAGAAGTTCAACATACACACATACATACAATGCTGTGAGCACAGGGCAGCAGCTGTGATAACTACTGTGCTGCAGTGACTAATCTGCATTTCCAATAAATATGCTAAATTCCTCTTGATATGCAAATTCCTTTGTCAAGGCGCTCTTCCCCCTCCAACCCAGCTTAAATATACGCTGCCAAGCCTGGTGGTGTTCATTCAGACGCTGTCTTTCCGACAGACCTGTTCTTCACCTGAGGACGGCTGCTTGCGTTGTGGCCGAAACGTCGTGAGAATTATTTTATGATGTTTTATTTGTATTATTTTATTATTTCCCTTCTACGTGACTTTACCGAAAGAACCAAGAAGAGGGCAGCAGCTTTTGCCCCCTCGCTTCCTTTGGCCCGGACACCCAAAGCCTCTCACCTGCTTGAGCGAGTGCAGGCCGTGTTGCGCGGTGGTGCTGGCGACGACGACGCCCGGCTCGCTGCTGCTGGGCCGCAGAGACAGGGAGAGGCCCGAGAGCAGCGTCACGTGCAGCCCGCTCACGGAGACCTTCTCCTCGCTCACCGTCACCGCGTGCTCCCCCAGCACGCCGCCAGACACAGGTGACAGAACCTGGCACAACAGAAGACAGGAATTGGAAGGTGGTGGTGGGGGGGGGGGGGATCAATAGATAATATTAATTCTGCTGAATGCGATTTTCCGCGGTTGTAATGCAGTGTTTGTATGTGTTTTCGGGTTGTACAGCGTGTTGTTGTTGTTGTTTGGCATTCTGCCTGATTGTTTTTTCTCCACGTGCCAGGAGCTTTAGTTTCTGAATAATCAGTCAAGCAGAACGTGGAAACGGACATCATGCCGAACAACACCGCCAACCCACCCTGGCCCCCTTTCTTCACCAGCTTTGTCAATGCCTCCATCTCATCTGGCATCATTAATTTAGCTCTCCACACAGCTGCCCTCCCTCACATCCTGAACAAACCCTCGCAAAACACCCCCCCCCAACACCCAAGCAACCATCCGTCCCATCGCAAAAACCTCCCTTTCCTCGGTAGCATCCTCGAGAGGGTTACGGTCTCCCATCCCTCCAAACTCAGCCGAGCAAAGAAGGATTCCCTTGTCACAATTCAAGTCCACACTCGAGACCTTTCTAATTTCCTCTGCCGATGACCGTTTCTTTCTATTAAATAAAAATACGTTCGCTATTATGTACAGCTCTCTTCAGATGCAGGGTAATTTAGACAGCACATTAGCAAATGCACGTTCTATTGCATGATCACGTTAAGCCGGTGGTAACGTCATCTAATTGAACAGATTTTGCAAAGAAAACGTGGTTATTGCATAAGCTTAGGTCATTACAGCAACTAATGAATCACTCCCTGCAAAGCAAATGTAAAAAAAATCAATTTGCAATCTATACATTTTCTCCAGGCAAAACAACCTGCATCTATTCATGTTCGCAAAGCTTGCAGAGCCATTGTCGTGTAAACACGTTGGTATATGCAGTAAGATTGATGTTTTTAATTTCCTTTTAAACTTTACATTGCACGCAAAATATATACATGATGCAAACCTGCATCACACTGCCTGCCTCAAAAGTCAAGGTTCCCTCTTGTTCTATGGATTTTCTCAGAACTCAGATGAAACTCTTTGCTGTCGTGGTTTAAAAGGTCAGCGCACCGCACTTGCGATTCATAGGTCGCCCTGGTTGATCTCCCGGCACAGCAGTTGAAGCAGTGGCCTTTTTTCCTCTCTTAACTCCCATGGAACAAAGGGGTTGCTGCCCTCTGGTTTAAGTGTAGGAACAGTTTTCTGACTAAATGTCAAGGTACATGTCAGACTAAGGAAATTGATGGTGATGCAAAAGGCACCTCGGGGGTTAATTCGGAAGTATGGGCCTCCATGAACACTTTCACTCTCATCTAAACAGGCTCTGAGAGGATCATCTACTGTCTGGCATTTAGTTTAATATTTCCACACGTTGCTTGGCATGGTGCTTGATTGGAGAATAAAGAGAGCTGCCAGATACATATAAGTGCACCGTGTTGTCATCGCACAGGCATCAGGTTGTTTATAGCCATTGCAGTTGGCCTCAAACTCTCGACTGTTGTGGGAATGGAGCCATTTGTGTAAAAAAGACATTATCCATCCAATATAATCTATTCCACATAGGACGGTGATAAAACAAAAATTAAATGTGATTTACTTTTCAATACCAGGTTTTTTTGCTTCTTTTACGGAGAAAGGATGATCTTAGTTTGCAATGTTCACCTGCATCTGCTGTTAATGTGATTGGTTATGAAGCTTGAACGTGAACATACATAATCGTATTTGCTAGTTTTATATATATAGACAATGACATTTAGATGATCAAAAACCAAAATTACAGTATCATTTAGGTGAGTAATGATTTACCTCCCAGCAATTCAATTAGTAGTCACAATCCAAGAAATTGATGAATTTTTGGTTGGCTCTTTTGCATTTCATTTGTGATTTACTTGCTTCATGCCAATGCTGGTGGAGGGGCCTCCAAGAGAGGAAGCTCTGGAGGGCCTCTCGAGAGGGTATTTGTCCTACTCTTCCACGCTGGCTGAACATTTAGGAAGAGTCGGGAGTACTCACATTTGACCCCACCACCAACCGCGACCTCCTGATGGACTGACTTTGGTGTGCCCATTTACACCTCCGGGTGGACAGGGACGGAGGAGATTTCAGAAACTTGCACGGATATTTCAACGGCCGCTCCGGCAAATAAAACAGGCGACCTCTGCATTGCAAGTCCAGTGTGCTAACCGTTACACCACGGCTTGCGTCCAGGTACAAATTAAAATACCCGCAACGTCAAATGCGCTCACCTGAATGATGGTTGAGCCGGGTTCGAGGCCCTTCAGCACCGTGCCTTCGCGCAGCTTGGCCACTCGTCCGTCGAGCACCCACAGGTTGTTGCGCACCAGGTGGGTTACGTCGGCCAGCCAATCGGCTCCAGGCAACGTGGACACATGATCCGTGTCATCGGCACTCTCCGTGTAGAACCGCGTCAACACCCGCACGGAGGCGTGCTGGCGCTGTGGGGTGCACGCCTGCCCTTGAGTGCCACCCTTTAAATGTCTGTTGAAAGAAAATATCACTGGCACCTCTTTTGCAGCGGGATGCTGGGACTCATTAAATCCCGCGGAGGAGTTCCGCGGTTCGGCTCGTAAGTGCGACTGAACGTTCGCAAGTCGGATGGTTTAAAAAATGAGAACATCCTGCGGAGGTTCCTTCGTAAGGGCTGGTGTTCGTAAGTCACAAACGTTCGTATCTCGGGTACTGGCTGTATGTGATGTGTCCAGATAAATATAACAGGACATAAATATCGTGATTTTTACATCTACGGAATGTGTGACAAGCGTTGCGTGTATGCAGATACGTGCTGAGAAAGCATTCTTCTTCGTTGTGATGACAATGTTTTTTAATCCTTTCCAAGATGTAAGAAGCATTAGTTGCACTGCATTCTATTTATATTGTAATATAATTACATTTAAAGATGCAACTTTTAATTGCATGTTTGGGGTGGTTTAATTATATTTTCTATGTTTACAATTATAGCCAATTGTTAACATAGGACATACGAATTATGCAGCAAATATTGAAATTTAATAACCAAATTAACTTTGACCAAAGGGTATTATCCAGAAGGGCTTATTCTGTGAGCCTAATTTCGTTTATCGTCCGTTCAGTCGTTTACCTTATTTGTAATCCATTTTATATAACTTAATGGTACTACTAATACTCTTTGGGTCTTTCGGTTAAGTCACGTAGATAGAAAAAAAATCACAACACAAGCAATCGTCTTCAGTTGAAAAAATACAGCAGGCGGTCTGCTGAGGCAGGAAGAAATTTAGCGAGAGAGCTACTGCAGCCAAAGGTTTCTAGGTTTTAGATGGGTACAACCCAAGGGTAAGTGAGCGGGGCTAGAGATGGAATTTGCAAGTGAATGTAAGATCGCATATTTCTTCCTGCCTCAGCAGTCCGCCTGCTGTATTTTTTCACACGTAAGCTTTCGCGACCAATATCCATAATAAAGGGTTTTGGGTTAGATCGCGTGGATATAAATGCGTCGTTAAAACCACCACCATTCGACACAGCCAATTAGTAAGGTTTGTCACGTCAACAAAACATTTAGCCAATTAGCTACTAGTTCAGCACACCGGTGTGTCGGAGAGTAAACCCACAACATGTACAATTCTAGTATGACGTTTCGCCGGCATATTACAAACAATCTCATCGGGCGATAGCCAGAATTGTGGAGAAATCCTCCTCCTGTTTCGGTCTTACGTAGAGGGGGTATGAAAGTGATGTCGTCACTTGTCAGCAAATCAGGTGCGAAGTCCAGAGGGGCGGGGTTAATGTCGTCATATAAATTGCAATGGACATATCTATTAAAATTATTTGGGTTATTCACAGTTGAATACAATTCAAAATTTGTATTCGAGGCAGGTTTGTTGCGAGATTAATTCGCAGAAGTGTACGTAGACGTGTACGCAGATACGTACGTATATGCGTACGCAGACATGTACGTAGACATGTAATCATGTTTGCCGATCCACTTCTGGACGAAGGCACTCTCCCCACGTGGTGCGGGTCACGCGTGTTATTTAACCGTAACATTACCACGCGGGTCAGTGTGGGTTGGTGAAAGTGGAGAGAATAGAAACGTGGGCGCATTAACGCGAAACATTTTATTTTTCCACGCACCGCGGTCTTCATACGCGCAACCTCCAGCCAAGAATGAACAGAAATAAATGACCCATCCTCGTTGTTCCTCGATTAAGACGTGCTTTTTCTTTTCTCTCCATCTAAAAATTCAGTGCGGATATATATTTTTTTATTCTAGATTTGAAGCTTTCGTGACTGCAAGGATTCATACTCTTAGTTCTTTCGGTAAAGTCACGTAGGTAAAAAATGAAATTAAAATTAATAAAAATAAACAATAAAAATCACGACGTTTCGGAGGCAACACAAGCTTCCGTCTTTATTAATTTTAATTTAATTTGTTACCTACGTGACTTTACCGAAAGAACTAAGAGTATATATTTTGTATACAACGTGCACGTTGTGGTGGGGGGGGGGGGGGGGGTGTGCAGTACCTGGACAGTGGTATATTCCAGCCCCTTACGAGGCTAAGCTCGGTGTCGGAGAGCTGTATTCGCAAAGGCAGCCTGGGAAGCCACACTGCAAGATCTATGGAGGAGCGCAGGTGCTCGTAACTGACTTGGATTCGAGCCCGCACTGAGCCTCTGCTCTCGTTTCCCTGCACGTACACGTACTGGCAGGCTGGGGAAACCTGGGAAAAAATGTAAAGGTGCGCGCAATAAATGCTTGCCATCACCCCCCCCCCCCAAAAGTGTGATTTGTTGTTGACGCATTCACCCCATTCTTTTGACAGATGCGATATCATTACTGTGTACACGAACTGATCAACCACAAGAACATTGCAGGCAATTGTATCAACCGATGGGTTTGAACATCTTTGTAAACATTTTGTTTTGCTGTGTTTCAAAATAAAACAGTTTTCAGTTTATAAGATGCACTTGAATCTGTGAAATATTGACGTGTACATCAGCAGCGCCTTTTTTTGTCTCCACTGCTGGATGAGGACCCCCCCCCCCCCATGCCGGGCAGGTTGTGAAGTCAGTGTGGACTGAATGTGGGGAGCATAGAGATAGGTGCATGGTACAGTACAACTAATAATTTTGCTGCACTGCCCTCTGTTGACAACGTAGCACAGTGGCAGCTTGCAACGCCTTTGATGCGCATGGTTGGTCACTCATTAAGGCACTCTCCGGCTTTCCAAGATTTTCAAAGATTGGACACATTTACGGCTGATTTGGTCGTAAATATTCACGGTGAATAGTAATTGATATTTGTGCACATTGTAGGTTATAGTGACAAGATGCATCGGCAGAGTACAATATCAAAGTACAACACACATCAAATGCACGTATACCAACGACAAAAAAAAATATTTGTAGAAAGTGAATGCAATGTTAATGAAAAAAGTTAATAAAAATCAGGCTCAAACATGACACGTGTAATTATGTTTTAATCATCTCATTAGCTGGTGGAAAGGCAAAAGACAACATTACATTTGTATTTTTAAAGTATGTTTGATTAGGATGTTAATAGAGTGCTGTGTTTTTATGATAACCATGGATAAACATGTATGTTGTATGTATGTTTAAATTATTTCGCACCGTACGTAGCCAACCGTGCTAATCGGAGGTTCAATCTACGTTTAAAAGTACAATATGCATCTTATCGACCTAACAAAATGGCAATACGAAATTTCACCAACACCTGTGTGTGTGTGTGTGCGCGCGTAGTGCGCATCAAAGGTCTATGTGTATCAATAAATCACAAACTTCTGGGGAATCCTTTACTCTGAAATATGCATACCTTTTATTTTGACGTTTGTTTCATCTTTTGCAGGAGAGTGATTGCGTGTACCGTGTGTGAGATATGATTCTCATTGCTTCTCAAGTGTAAGTGCAAGCGAGCGGGGAAAAAATGGGTTTCCAGATGCACAGTTAATAATAGACACTTTGCGTGGTATGTTATCGTTTAGAGTTAGATCGCGTAAATATAAATGTGTCGTTAAACCCGCCACCACCACCACCCAACATAGCCAATTAGTAAAGGTTTATCACGTAAACAAAACGTCCCAATGTCTTCTTCTTGGTTCTTTCGGTAAAGTCACGTAGAATGGAAATAATAAAATAATACAAATAAAGACAGAGTCTGTCTTCTCGACAGACCTGTTCTCCACATGAGGACGGCTGCTTGCGTTGTGGCTGAAACGTCGTGAGAATTGTTTTATTATGTTTTATTTTTATTATTTTATTATTTCCATTCTACGTGACTTTACCGAAAGAACCAAGAAAATGAATCCTTGCAGTCACGAAAGTTTTAAATCGAAACGTCCCAATGTGTTACTCGTTCAGCACACTGGTTGTGTATTGGAGAGTAAACCCACAACATCGACAATTCGAGTACGACGTTTCACCGTTAATTACAACCCTCATCATCGGGCGACAGCCAGAGTTGTGGAGAAGAAATCCTCATCCTGTTTTGGTCTTAAATAGAGCGTATACATCCGCTTTATTCGCTTGATTCAGAGTTTCTCCAATTTTCATGTGTGAAGAAAAGTATCTTCCCCATAGAGGTTAATCAGTTTAACACGTAGGCTGTCGCGACGAATATTATGATATATGTTTTGTCTGTTTAATTTAAACAACGGTAAAAAAAACCAAGTTTACCAATCTTCTTTAACCTTTGTAGTTCCCTTCACATTTAGATTGCATATTTTCCAAAAAAACATCTTGACAATATGTGCTATAATTGGGCCTACGCTTCCCATTCATTACTGGAATCCCTGAGCAACTATAGATAGCTATGTGTAAAGAGTGAAGAGTGGAATGGAAAAAAAAACATGCTTTTTTTTAGTGCAGTTCTTAAGTTTAATTAACAAAGAGATAAAATGTGACTGGAGGTGATGGATTCTGCAAGTGATAAAGCGCGAAGTCTTCTCGACAAATTATGCACGAGTCTTTATTGATGAGTGCCTGCACCAATTTGTGGCTACTTCACCCACGTACAATCCAAACGCTCATTATAATTTCGCGAAGAAGATGTACACTGTCTACTACCTGCGTGCCACTTTTTGCGGTTCTGATGCTGCACAACGCTCCGACGTGTTTTCGGGTTGTACCGCGTGCTGTTCGGAACAACGTCCGACGGTTCGCTCCATCTGCTGGCAGCTTCTTGAGGAAGTGCTCCAACGTGTTTTCGGGTTGTACCGTGTGTTGTTTCGTCGGCGTGCACCCGGCAGCGTTTTTTGAAATGTCGGACATTGCTCAACCTTCTGGGATCAATTCGGAAATTCAGTTATTTTATTTTATTTTACTTTTATTAATTTTAATGTTTTACCTACGTGACTTTACCGAAAAAACCTAAGAATATCAGTTTACCGAGTTGCTCGCAGCACATTGAGCAAGACGTAAGGGACATCGTGCGAACAATATTCGGTTACACTCGAAAACACATCGTATTTAAACTGTAAACACATTTTTGTACAGCGTATTTGTTGTACATGTGTTTGCTTGAATGTCTTTTTTTGTGCATTTATTTGCTTGTTATGCACACACTATATCTTGGCTAAGCATTGTATACGAGTTAATGGACTGTGATGTCTTGTTTATTATTGGGTAGGAAAGGTTATTACTGGACTAAAATCTATTATTGCTCAACTAAATATTGTCAGAGTAACGGAAAGTATATTCGGTAAACTGCAATTTTGGAAGTCGAAAGCTGTAATTTTGACTCGAAAAAATCCAATATGGCAATCTGTAACATTGGCAACTCCACTCACATCACTTGGCTTTTAAAAACGATTGGGTGTATTTCTAGAGAATTTGGTGGAAATGCCTATGACATGCATTACCACAATCAAACCTTTATTTAAAAAATTCATTAATTGTGTTGTTTTGAGATGTTATACAAGGTCAATTGTCTACACACACCACGAAAATAATCGGCCGAACATTATACAGAAAACGTAATTTTCTCCCAAAGCGTCTACGTGTCTCCGACCAATCTCGAAACATTGGTTAAGTCTTTTTCAACTCTCTCCTGGCACAATTTGTACGAGAGAGCCGGCCTGATATACTTACAATATGGAATGACGCATACGCTGAGGGTTATTTATAAATCAGTGTGGTATCTGTAAATGGATCACCCTGTACATTGAGATACTCCGACTGTTAGGGACAATTCACCTCTTAGACGCACCGTAATGTAAGTACCATAGACACGCATGATGCATTTGCTCTTTGTTAAAGACTAGAGCCTTCATGCTCAAAATGACGAGTTCCTAACAGCTTTTGTTAAACACTGACACATTTATGTAACATTTATCTAACCGAAGCCATCCATAATTACACTTTGGCAGAGTTCAAAACCTTGAATTGAGAATACTGTCAAATTAATCACAGGAATGTTTTAAGACTCAAAACTTTTAAGGAAATGAAAGTGAAATAAGCATGCCAGTCAAATAGATTAGCACATCATTGTACACGCACATGTGCAACTATTTGAAATATCCTTGAGTATTTAATAATAGCATAGTGTATTACGTCACGTTGCATATTCCTATGCATTATATGCATTGGCTATATATATATAAAAGGCATTGTCATCAATCATGTTCTATCCACTGCTGGATGAAGGTCCCACATATCCATCACGACTTCCCATGGGCCCGCTGGGTCTCTTCCATTCACCATCAACATTCCAAGCGGTCTGACTTTTCTTCACGGTCATTCTGATGGATTTTAACGTTTGATTTGCATTTTTGGATACACATTTTGAGGACCCAACATGATGCTGCCAGGCTCCTCACCTCCACTTCTAAACGTGACCACACCACTGCAGTGGTCCAATCCCTCGATTTGCCCACCCAAACTAATCCCAGATCAATGTCAAGATCTCATTCACCATCGTTGAGACTCCCCATAAACTCACCCCTGCCTACCTCTCTTCTCTTGGACTCTCTGCTCCCGGCAATCTTCGTGACTTGTTGTCACAAAACCCCCAGCACTACTCTTCTGCTGCCCTTATAGTCTGGAACTTCCTTCCCCTAGCCATCGATGCTATCAACTCCCTGCACCTTGTATAAGTCTGGGCTCAAGACCTTCTTGTTTTCTTCTACCGATGACTGAATGCCTCTTTTTGTCTATAAAAAATAAATGTTTCCAATTTCTGTGCAGCATCTGGATATGCATTTTATGTGGATGAAATTCTATCACTTCCATTTATGGAGCAGTCTACGTTGGTGGGAAATGTATCATTAGATAAATATATAAAAAAATCATACATGTCTGGCTGTGAGTTTAATCTGTTTTTTTTGTAATATTTAATCAGATTTAACAATCGATTGATAGCATGGCTATACAGTGCCTCCAGTGACGGAGGAGGAATAAAACATATCAGTGCATACCAGTCACTGGATACAGTTATTTCTAAACAATTGAGGTGTTATTTAATTTAAAATGTTGACGTAACAACATGTGTGGCATATTTCTAAATATTAGCATCGGTTTCCTTCATATATGGAGTGATAGAAAAATTCTAAAACAAGCACAGGATCATATCTTTGTTTTATTGACGCTCTTGAAAATGAAATATAAGAATATATATGGCAACGAGCCTTTGACCAAATCTCCCTCAATGCACATGATCGTCAGATCTTACCATTGGATATCAAAATCTAAGCAGGTTTTTGAGCCT